TGTGAGCCCCCACCCCGGGGAGCCCGGGAGCCGCGGGCGGGCGGCGGCGAGGCTGGGCGAGGGCATCCCTCTGCCCTGGACCCCGTCGGGCGTGGCTCTGCCGGCTGGGTTGGGGCGGAGAGGGTGTCCGAGCTGACCGGCGAGTGCTGCGCAGTGGGCAGCGGGTGCGCCCCAGAGGCGGCCCCGAGCGCTCGGGAGCTGGGGGCGCAGGCAGTCGCCTGCAGAGCCCCGGGCAGGGCCTCAGCGACGTCCCAAAGGAGACTCCGGGAGCCTGGTGAAGGTCACGCGACTAGGCCTCCCGTTGGACCCTAACCTTGGAAGGAGAGAGATTTCTCTGCCCAAATTTTGGCCTGAAGCCTGGGGTTGGAGATGAGGGTGGGGGGTGCGTTTTAGCCTCCTCCCATTCAGAGAATTTGAAGGTGCATTTCTCAGGGTTTCAGATTTTCTTACACCGGACACCCCCTCCTAGTTTGCAGCAGCTCTGGGCCTTCACAACCTCGATGTCATAAAAACGGATCCAAGACTCCTTTTAGTTAGAAGGAACCCTGGCTGGTCTCCCCTCTCCCATCCCGCTTCCCCTAGGCCGTATAACTGAGTCATCTTTAAACACTATCCTTGGTCCTAGCCAAATGCAAACCCTGCCTGCAAACAACAGTGTTTGAAGCCAGATTTTCTTTTCGAAATAACTGCAGGGTTGAAGTTAGCCATTTTGGGAGAGTGCATTTGCTTTTCCAGCTCATGAAAATATGCCGTTTTTGGCTTAGGGAAGCAAGACTACAGAAGTTTCAAGGTAGGCCCAGCAATGACAATTTAGAAATAGGGTAAAGGAGTCTCAGGGAAGGTGTGGGCGTCACTGTAAATATTACGCAGGTGTGTGCATTTACCCACTAAGGCGTGCCTTTAGAAAAGTTCTGCATGAACGGAATTTCAAAAATTCTTTTTCAGGCAGTCGTATGGAAAGCCTTTTGTGTTGCAAAACCCGCACCCCCCTCCCATGAATGTATTTTCTTAAATTATCAGTAACTTAGTGCCCTATGGGTTAGTAACTTTCCAAACTATCTTCTGTCAAAAGACAAAACTACAGACTACAACAAATTTAGTTATAGATTTATTTGAGATTCATGAATGGGACAGCCTCCATTCTACAAATAGAATGAATGCTCCAACTGGGCAATGGCAGAACAGTGGGTTTTGTAAGGTGGGAACAAGAAAATGGAACAATAGGAGGGGAAAAGCTGATTGTTTAACATCAGGTTACTTTTTTGTAAGGGTTAAAGCAGAGGAAACTTCCTTAGTACTCTAACTCAGGCTGGAATTTCCTGTTTTTAGGAAAAACTGGTCTATCTTGGGATCTATCTGCTTCCTTAAAGTTTTTGTTGGATTATGTGACATTTAGCATGAGTGATTCCATTTTGGTTTCTAGTCTGCTGGGGCCTAATACAATAGCTTGGTCCAAAACAATGGCCTCTGTACTGGATTGAATTATGTCCTCCCAAAACTTATTGAAGATTGAATTGTGTCCCCCAGGTTTTATGTATTAGAAAGTTGGTCCCTACTCTGACTATTAAAAGTGTGGGAAATCCTGTTCTGGTAATTGAAAGGCGGAGCCTTGAAGAGGTGATTAGATTGTAGGACCATGCAGTAGTGAATGGATTAAAAATGGTGGTCAGGGGGTGTGGTTCTGAGGGCTTTAAAAGAACAGAGAGAAGAGTCTGTCTCTCTCTGCTTCCACCATCTTGCAGTCTGAGACCCCTGGGTCACTTTTGCCACCACCAGATATGCTCCTTGGACTTTGGACTTCCCAGCCTCAGAAACTGTAACAATAAATTTTATTTTTTTAATAAATCACCCAGTTCTGGGTAATTTTATTATAAGCAACAGAAATGGACTAATACAGCCTCCCATAAATTTTGTTTATCACTTCCAACCACAGATCAACTTGGGCAGTACAGGCTCTATCTTCTCCTTAGGCCATTTCCTTCATGTTCCATGGTATATATTTTTTTGATCCTCATACTTCTTACAGGGATTCTGGAGTATCACCCATAGGATGTCTATAGATGATCAGAACAATGGTTTCCTGGAACAATAATTTACTTAAAGATATGAGTCAGTAAATTGAAAAGTTGCTTATAGCCCATTTTCACAGCCATCTGTACTAGACTAGAATATTTAAGTCATATGCAAATAACTACCAAGTCCTACAAAACCCAGGCTTGGGGAGAGCAGGGACTTCTAAGATGTATTACTTTATATAATATTTTTCCCTATATGACTCCCAAATTCGTATTTAACCCTGACATCTCCTGAGCTTCTGCAATATAAAAGGATGCTGTCCTGCCATCACCTCTATATCCCTAAAGCTAAACTCATTCTCCCCCCACCCCCTGCTGCTCAAGATTCAGTTGTCTTAAAAATTAAGGAAAATGTATTATCTCATGTAACAGGAAAACTGGGGATAGATCAGCTCTAGGGGTAGTTCATTTACAAGCTCAATAACATTACCAGGGACCCAGACTCTTTCCATCTCTTTGCTCCAACATTCTTAGGCCAGTAGTGCCCCTCATAGCTATAAAATAGCTGCCACAATTCCAGCTGCCACAGACATACACACAATGTCCAGCAGAAGTAGAGACTGTTTCTTCCCATGTGTCTCTTTTTATCAGCAAGGAAAACCTTTCTTGGAAGCCCTCAAGAACTCTTCTCACAGTCTCATATGCCTACAGCTAAGCCAGTCACCAGCAAGGAGTAAGAAACCATCATAAATGGCTTAAATTAATTATGATTCACTCCCTGTGGCTAGGAATTGAACTCCCCTCCCCCAAGCACGTGACCATGTAGAAATGGGTGAATACCTGGGCCAAACTGAGGTTTCTTAGGAGGAATAAAGGGAGAATAGATGTTGGGAGGATAAACAATGGTGTTTGATACAGGTGGTAAATGCATCTGTCAGGATAAGCTAGGTTGTGCTGTGGTAACAAGTGATCTTTACAACACAAGGTTTTGTTTCTTAAAATATTATACGTGTCCATGACAGGACAGCTTGGCTATCCTCTAGGTTGTCTTCACACCAGGACCAAGGCTGATAGAGCAATCTTTATCTGGAACAATGCTGGTGTCTCATAGAAGAAGAAAAGCGATCATGATGAACCACGCTGGCTCTTAATTCTTCCACCTGGAATGTATACAAGTTAGATCTGCTCACATTATTTTGGCCAGAACAAGTTCATCTGGCTGAGCATGGTGTTTAAAGGATAAGGGAATATAACCCTTTCCTGGGAAGGACAGCAATAATTTGTGAAAAACTGTGACCAACAATGCAGTCTGCTACAGTCGAAGACCAGAAATAGCCAAATCCTGTTCTGCTGATCATCTCTTCTCTCCTCAGGGTTCCCAAGGGAACTATACACAAGAAAGAAATTAGAATAGAAGCCAAAGGATCATTTTCTTCATAGCTGTGCTAGCACCCAATAACCTCTGGAGCAGAGCTCTGCCAAAAGACTGAGTTCAATCACATGGCTTAGGTTTAAGGCTGAAATGAAGCTTCCTAAATCCCTGCTTCTCCTCCTCTCCTGTAAATTTTGGGACCAGTATGCTTGGGCATGCCTGCAGAAAGACAGGAAATGAGCAGACCTGCAAAGAAGACCAGCTGTACTCATCTATGAGTGTGCTGGAGATTGGGCTGAACCTACCCAGCAGGAAATGGGGAATGACTTTTTAACACAAAGTGACCCCAACCACTAGTAAAATGAGGGCTAAAGAATGTGCTGGTGTAATATTGTAATATAATAGAAATATATATTATATTTCTATTCTTCCCCAGCTCCTCAAACCCTTGTAATTTCCTAAGTGATAGGAGCAATAGGAACATCTTTTATTCTAATACTTGGTTTTTGTCCCCAGCTCCTGAAATAGCTCAGGAGTGATAAAGGCGAAGGGAGCATCTACTGTTATTCATAACAAGTACCATCCAACCACACCTGTGTTTATGTTA